ACTCCTCCTGACAGGGGATTCAGCCAAGCGTATAGTGAGGGTCTGCTGGGAACGTCTGGCTGAATCCCCTGTCAGGAGGAGTTTCAACTCCTACCTCCGGCAGAACTTTTCCCATGTCCCGGGGGAGGCGGGGGACATTGAGTCCGAATGGGCCATGTTCCACACCTCCATTGTGGAGGCGGCTGACCGGAGCTGTGGCCGTAAGGTAGTATCAAATTAATGTGATTTCTTTTGATTCATGACTCCAAATCCATGGAACAACGGATTTAAATGCTCTAATGCTCTAAGACGCCGGGTGTTGCTGTTGAGCCCTGTAGATGTCGTGGGCCCATCGATGAAACCCAGATGAAGCGTAGCGCCTGATGACCCCAATGAAGTGACAATCGCATCCTCATTCAACACATCAAGAAAGTGCTGGATATAGGGATTGTAACATCAAGTCCTATGAGCCCGACTGACTCATTTTCTAATAAAGTACACACATACTGTTACTGAAACTGCCCAGATATGTACTTTATCATGTTCAGTTAATACTAATTGAAATCCAAATGAAGTTCTGAAAGCCTCGCTAAATGAGTCCCCCGCATCATTGCATTTAGCTGCGCAGCGTTTAAGTTGGACCAGAAAATCTGAATAAGCAGATGCAAATGAGGAACCAATTTAAGCCTTGGCAGGCAAAGAGACAACATACAGAGCGGCGAGTGGAAACGCACTGAACAGCTTTGTCTGTACACTTAACTCATTGCAGACCTCATTTATCATAACCAATGGGTAATCACTAACAGATTATCTAAAATGGTGGAATGCAATAGAAAATGTTTTTTGTCTTTAACTTCTCTTGAATTAACATGGCCAATGAGGTATAGTTACCATTAACTCAGAATCATTCAGTTCATAAACAGTGCTGTCAAAAAGTCCCTTTAATTGCTAAGAGAGTCAATAAATCCCCTATATTTATTTATATGGGTCTCTAGGAGAAGATCTCCTAGTCGCTATTTTATGTGGTTTGTGGTTGTGCTAGTGATTCTTTCGGTTANTACAAGGTCAGCCCAAGTTTCATGTTGACCAATCTGTAAATAATGACTTTACACAAAATATTGCCTTCCCTGCTGATATTTAAAAAACAATGCCAACTGTCTACCATGGCTATCTTATCAGTTGCTGAGATGGTTTTGTATTAATTCAGTAATGGTAGTTGATGAACAGGAAACATATTTTCGCAAATGTCAGGTGTGTATGAATGCAGATCACCTTTGCATATATCTAAATCATTTGTCTTTTTCTTCTTGTGCAGAAGGAGTCATGACATTTGATGAGGCCGCCACTGAAGAATTCATTAAGATGAATGTTTCAGAACACCTCAAACATGCTCCTCAAAGACATGGAGGTGGAGGATTCAGTCAGGACTGATAAGCCCAACATACAGGACTTTGAACAAGAATTGTTTTTCCTCATGTTCTTTCTGAAATAAATATACATATACAACCAGCAGCCCTGTTTGTTTTATTATTATTAGTATTTTTTAATCGAGGTTTAAATGGGGGAATTGAGTTAGGTTTACAAATAAATCACATGTGTATAACTTACCTATGTTTCAAGAGGGTGGAGGACATGTTTTATGAACCAGTTAATTTTACTGTAGTTTAACAGGTAGTTTGAACTGGAAATGCATTACAACTTTGTATGTGTCTCCAGTTATCTGAGACAGTCAAATTAAGTTATTGGAATATGATCTAGTCCCATTTCAGAAGGTGGCAGACTGTTCCAGATCATTTTCCAATAAGTTCATTTGATTGTCTCAGCCACAGATAACTGGAGACGCATACAAAGGTGTAAACAAAGCTAACAATTAACTGGTGGCCTATAGAAAATATGTCCTCCACCCTCTGGAAACATGGGACTACAGAGCCTATAGAAGCAGTATAAAAACGATGTCTAAAATGAGTCTAAGTTTGACGTTGAAAAGACGGCCACAGTGACCACATTTAGACTATAAATAGTCCATACAAGGAGGTCCCATGGACGTCAACACTAGACGTTCATTAGACATCAAAAAAAGACGTCGCCTGGCGTTACAAAACAACCCCTTCAGTAGACCAAAATTGGACGTCCAAAAACGACATATAAAAGACGTATTTCCGACGTCACTTTGCGCAGTGGGGTGAGACACGCCGCGCTGAGAGACTCGCTGGGGACCGAACTGCACTTTAGCCTGCGCTCTATTATTCTGTACGATACATAAAATATAAAAACGAATTCAAGTATGTGAAATACCTCAGGAAATGTCGGACGACCGCGCGACGCCGGCGGGAAGACGGGGCGAAATGCTGCGTGTGCTAAATTAATAGCCTTAATTACAGGTAAATAAAATTACAAACAGCATTAATCAAACGTGTTAAACTTGAAATTGTACCACAAAGAGTACCACTAGAAGTTAATTTGAACAGTTTGCAAGATGAAGCTGTCATTTCCAGCAGGATCCACAAACAACCTTCACAGGCACTTAGGAACTGCGCATCCAACAGTTCAGATGGAAGGAAAAAGACAGGCTAGCGTGCTGCTACTGCCAGAAGCCGGATCAGCCCGTCTAAGCTGAGGCACTTAGCCTTTCTGCCCCAAAGGAAATGTTAAAATGTTACACTGTTAGGTGATAGATAGTTGTTAAAGTGGATAGATACTAAAACTGTTGGATGCTGGTGTTTTGCACGTTGTAATTTCTTTATAATTTATTGTTATTCGTTATTTATGTTATTTGACTGTTAATGGTATCAAAGACAAAAACAGATTTTCCACTATATAATGTTCAATACACATGTAGTAGTGTTTGAGGTTTTTACATTTCATCTTTTTATACCAAACATGATGGTATTGAGAAAATCATAAGGTTTAGTACACAAATCAATCATGTGTCATAACAGCGCTGAATCTGGCTGAGGCAGAAGTAATAAAATGAAGAGCCGTTTGGGAGCCGGAAGAGCCGGCTCTTCTTGGTGAGCTGAGCCAAATGATC